GTTAATCAAAATTAAATGCAAATTAGTTTTTTATTAGTTAATAATCTCATTTGTGTTTTCCATCAGACACATAATTGTGAATTTTCTAGAAACAGCTCTTAAAATCCGACTTGAATTCTTACTTTTTTTTTCCTGCTTCCAAAATATGATCAACTTTAGAACTTCCTTCTATTAGTAATTTCTAGAGAATAGTTTTATTTCTTGAAACCCAAAGAGTAACAAGTGTATTTCTTCAGAACTGTATATTTCCCTGTTTGGAAAATGTTTACATTTTTTATCATTTAAATTCTGATTCTTCAAATCAATGTCTCCTCTTTCCAATGATAAAGTTAAAATAAAGTAGAACATTCTCAGTGAAGAAAAGAGGAAGTTTCAAAGGAAATTAAAGTTGAATTCGACCTTCCAACTGCATTCCCATAGGCTTATAATAAACACAACCTTACATAGCACCAGTGGAGATAGTACCATTTTTACCAGTGATGATCAAGGACCAGAGCTCTCTGCTCTGGAAGTGATGATCTCAGTTAAATCTCAGTGTTACACCTTCTCCTTCAGAGATGGAGGGAAGTAAGTAGCTTGCAACCATGACAAAATGTGAGACTCAGCTAATTGGTGTGGTTTTGATGATACCACAATTCTGCCCAAAACCCTTGTAACTAGCAAGTTTGCCCTGAAGATTATTGAATTACTCCACTGACCATGCATTATTTAAAGGGAAGTGCTATTATTATAGAAGCCAGCTGTTTAACCATTGGAATTCTGTCTGTTGGCCAACTTTCAAGATACAGCAGTGCGCTGTGACTACACACTATGTCTACTCACAGAAGCCTCAGGGCCTAGGTTGCATGGTGGCCGACTTGTCTGCTTAAGTAATCTTTGGTCTGCATGCTCTAGAGAAAAACTACTGACGAAATAAATATATACATATACAAATTTTCAATGTCAAGACTTTGTCAGCAAGGAAAGTTCTGTGGAATTTTATATGTGCCTGTGCACTCCAACAACTGAGTGAGTCTACAGACACTCCATAATGCCAGTATGACAGAAATCTGAAACTGTACTTAGTTATAGAAGAGACTATCCCAGTCTCCTGTCCTTTGTTGCAGCATCAAGTAAAGAAGAGTGTTTTGAGCATTTGGGGGAGTTTAATAAATAGAAAACAAGTTTTCACCTTCTAAGTTAGAAAATATTCAAGCCTCTTTCTTGAAGCAATGTAAGTGGCTTCCAACCATACTGAAGATTTGGCCTAGATGGGTTTTTTTCCTGCATTTCTTTGCCTGATACAGAATCTTTAGAATAGAGAGGACCACAGCAGTCATACACTGTGTTCAATACAGAAATATGACCTAGGATCCACAACAGATGTTCATACAACCTTTACTTAACTGCTTCCAGCAATGGGAAGTTCAGTACCTTTTTAAAAAAGTCTATCCCATTTTTAAAACTTTTGAGTTCAAATTATTAGGATTTTTTTCCCTTATATTAAGCTAATATTTATTTCCCATTCACCTACCATTTCTGATTCTGCCCACTGGAACAGAATTGCATAGTGCCTAATGAGGAGCTTTTAAAAGCAAGGATGAAAATGATAGTCATACTGAAAATAGCTGTAATTGAGAAGTCATTAAAAATCCCTATTTTTCTCAAAATTGATACTAGAGCAAATTATTTTACCGTCTTTTTAGTAAACCACATTATATCAGGTTTCTAGTGTTAGCCCATTGCAATAAGTGTCTTTATTTTGGTTCTGGGAAAAAAAGTAATGTGAAGTATTCAAAGATAAAGGATAAAACTTGGACCCTCAGCTATAGCCTCTGAACTGGTGAGAAATGATTTTTTGTTAAATACCTTAATGTAGAACCAGAAATCAAGCCTATAGAAAACTTCAAAGGATTAATTAAACTTTAAAAGGAAATAGGTAAACACTTGTTATATTCATATATTCCCAATGAAGTACAATTACTCCATTGTAGACATTATGAATAGACAAAGACAAACATCTTTCTAAGACTGTGGTAACCAGAGATAACTGGCAGTTACATTTATGACAAAATCCAAGTCTGTATAACACCATTTCAATAACATTAAATATATATATAGATAGACATGAAGTAAGCTTTCTTTAAACAGCATTACAGAAAAGTCCTAAATTTCTCTGTTTCTAAATGCATTGATCTATGGACTGAAAAACACAGCTATTTTATAGACTGAGCCATGTCAAACTGAGTTCACCTAAGAGAGGTGACAAACCAGAGGCCTGGTGTGTGCTATTATTTTTTGCTGTGCTGATGACTGTTTTCTGTCTCACAAGGGGAATAAATTAGTGTTGTGTTTCATGGCTATTGGTGGTCACTGAGAAGGGAATATTGCAATTCATACAACATTTTCTGCCAATCCAAGATGAAGTTTAGTGTCTTCCTCCAGTAACAAGCAAAGAGCTCCAGCACTTAGGGTGTCTCAGAAGAGAGATTGCTTTAGAAATGCTTGAAATGGAAATGCTAAATAGGTCCCAGAATCACAAACCCTATCCATTTCCATCTTCAATCCAAAAGCATGAATTTTGAAATCGGTTGTTTCTGAGTTAGCCAAGTTTGCGGGTTTCTGGAACCAATCCTACCACCCTATCTCCAAACATTAAATTACTATTCCGTATTCAACAACAAATTCCAATTATGTCCCATTAAGAAATTCATAGTTTCAACAAAGAGCAATCATTACCTGTGCTGAATGACAGGGACAATTACCTCAAAGTAAGCTGAGTCACATTCTCCTTCCTCCCCACCCCAAGAGAAAAATAAAGTGTACCACAGGCTACGCTATTGGTGGACCCTTCATCCTCTTGAAATAGCCATTTTGCGAAAAGTACGTGGAAATCCTTTGTGTATTACAAAGAATCATGTAAGCCCGCTTGTGTCTTTTCCTTAATTTACAGTCCCAGGAAAAGATTATAAAAACAAAAACAACAAAAAACATTGTTTACATTGCACAAGGGACCCACTGAGTCTCCGTGAGCAAAAACAGAGCATCTTCTAAACCAGTTATCTCCCAACAGCAAGTGAAAGCACGGTGAGGCTCTAGTCAGGGCCAGCTGCCTGGTCCCTGCCAAACCTCTCAAATATGAGGAGCCCACAGGGTTTGCACCAAGTGAAAACAGCAGACCCTTCCCAGAGAGACCACAAATGAACCCTCAATGGGTTACTATCCCCTGCTGCCCAAACAATGACAATAAACCTGCCTTATGGGAAGGAAGTGAAGCATCCCCAGGCTCCTGTGCCAAGCATCAGGAAAGCATTTGGGCTCTTAGGGGATGCCATGAACCGTTGGCCCTTCCAGCAGCAAGGCGGCCAAATGAGTTTGGTAGGAGGCCATGACTGTGGATCTGATCTCCCCCAATCAGAGAATTCAAAATATACATGGGGATTTTGACTCTCAAAATTTCATTTTAAAAGATGGTATCGTTATTATGCAAATGTAAGGACTTTTTATTTAAAACATAATGCTGTCTTCTGTGTCCAGAATTGAGATTGAATGCACATCAGATGAATTGGATTCTTCTGGATCAATGGTTTGCAAGTTTTCTTCCACGAAGCCTGGACATCAGTGGAGAAGACTCAGGCCCCCCACCTCCCTCCCATGGGAGCTCAGGGTGTGAGAGAAAGCCGAGGTCCCCCTTCCTTGCCTGAGCCTGAGCAGTTTCGCTTTTGTCTGTTTTATATATTGTTATATGAACAAGATTTGGTTTAACGAAAGTTCTACTGTGACAAAAAGCTTACAAAGAATTCAGGTACATTTTAAGATCTGTGTAAGCTTGTTTTGCCCTGTCTTTTAATTCTAGAGCCAGGAAAAAAATGGGTTCAAATTAAAACAGATGAAACCAAACTGAAACCTACTTGCCGAGTAAAGAGGTCTAATTGATTTGCAAATATCAAAAGAAATTTGGCTTATGGTGTTCCCTCTGAGCAATCTGAATCACATGAAAGATGGACATTTAGTTCATTCTGTCTCAGGCTAGTAGTTATTCTATAAGAAAACAGAATTGAGTGTTTTGGTCTTTCTGGGTGATAGGAGAAGGAGCTCTATCACACTGCTATAGTCATCAAGTCCAAGTTCCAAGGTTTGGGATATAATCAATAGAAAAACTATTTCTTCACAGACCAAGTAAGAAAAGATGAACTCAGAGGAAGCAAACCAATATTTATTTAGGACCTACCATATGTGCAGTTATATACTAAATACTTTTCAGACATTATCATCCTCAAAAGATCCTTACAAGGAAGATATTATTAGCCCCACTTTACAGATGGATAAACTGAGACCCAGGAAGCCTAAATGACTTGCCCAGACTTGCACAACAGGTCTCCTGGGCTCTATGAGGCCCTTGGACATTGCAGAGAGTAGATCTGAGTTTGAATCCTGACTTCACCACCTACTGCATGAATGACCTTAAGCAAGTCATTTACAACTGAGTGTCAGTTTCCACATCAGTAAACTGAGGAGCCCTTTCTAGATTTAAAACATCATTGACACTCAATTTGATTTTACAATGGAAGCAATTAAGCAAAAGAACAAACATTTGAGCCATCCTGCATATAAAACCTATGTAGATTTGCTAAAAAAAATTAAGGAAACTGAATACATAATCTTTTAATATTCCCAGAAGCCTCTCGACTCAGCCGATATGTAAGGAAAGGCTAGGATTGGGCATAGACAAGGTCCCTGACGAAAGGTTGCTGAGAACTTGAGAAGAATTAACACAAATAAAGTGTGCTGTGAATGAGTTAATGTTGACAAGTGTGATACAGAAGACTCCAGAAGACATATTGGAATCCAGAAAGATCTATGAGGGCAAGAATTGTTGGAGAAGCTTCAAAAAGAGGTTGACTTTCAAATGTGTGAGCTGACTAGGTGTGGGGAGAGAAGAGTCTTCAGGGGTTGGGTAGAATTGTGACAATGGTGTATTCCACTCTAAAGCCAGGCCACTCTGCATTTGATCTGTACAGACAAGCCCACGGGGTATGGCTCCAGCAGCCGGAGGGCACCCCAGACAGGCATTGTGGATGAGTGCTGCTTCCGGAGCTGTGACCTGAGGAGGCTGGAGATGTACTGCGCACCCCTCAAGCCTGCCAAGTCGGCCCGCTCCGTCCGTGCCCAGCGCCACACCGACATGCCCAAGGCTCAGAAGGTAAGCCAGCCAGGGTGGGGTCAGCCATCCTCAGGAGACCTGCATCTTACATGTGCAGGTGGGCTGAACAGTAATTATGCCCCCATAGTCGCCTAGTTTACAGGTCAAAATAGCTCCATTCTCACTCTAGATGTCCGCCCCTTTGGTCATCCCACATCGCAAATTCTCCCTTCCAGTGGTCTGGATAATCTGATAGCCAGAAGATGGTATAACGAACAGTGACTAAACAAGGGCTTTGGGATCAGACAAAACTGAAATCCTAGCTTTGCCAATCACCAGCTGAGAGCCCTTAGTGAAATCATGTAACCTATAGCAAGCCTTGTTTCCTTGGTAAAATTTGGATAACGGTAATATCTACCTCATCAGGTCATTGTAATTATCAAGTTAATGCACATACAATACTTTTCACATGTCTATTCAAAATGACTGTTGGACAAGTGTTAACATCTGTCATAATTGTAATGAAGAACAAAGCCTATAACCTTTCAAGTCCTGATATTCTGCAAAGATGCAAAACAAAAAACAAAAAAAAACCCAAAAAACCTCTAAACTGGGAACTATTTGAAATTCACATTCAGTGGCAAATATAATTTTAAAAAAACATTAAAAATAGAAATTTCTGTTGGTTCAAAGAATATCTAGAAATGTCTAATGATCAAAATCTGCAGACGTCTTTTTCTAAGAGCTTAGACTTTAAAGAGACCTTAGAAGTACTGTCTTTGCCATTGATAACATACAAATCACTTGATGCACATTAGTCACTTAATAAAGTTTTGTCGAATGAATGAATGAATGAGTGAACAATGAATATAAGTGAATTACTAAAATTTTAGTCGTTACATAGAAAGACTGAGAACTAAAGAGAAAGTGAGAGAGGAAAGAGAGGAAGATTGAGTAAAGTAGAAGCTCTAATTTTTAGGTCTCCTTGGGGACTCAATAATATTAACAAGAAGAAAAAGAAACCAACCTGTGGTTTTAACCTTTGGAGCCAAAACTAGCATTGTGCAGAAAGCCCAAGATGAGAGACCAAGAAGTGCACAAGGACACCTTTGCCGCTTCCTGGTCCTGAACTGCAGCTGAGGCTGGAGGAGGACTAGTAAGGCTGAGCAGAGACGTGACCCCAGGGAGCCACCTTGAGTGATGGAAAGGGACCAGGCACAACCTGGTGCACATAGAACACAGCAGCCAAAGGTCAGGGAGCAAGAAGTTACTTTTAAATCAACATGACTGGAAAGTTGGGCCGGGGATGGTGAAGGTAGGTTCATTCTTCCTTCTCAGGTGACCCAGTGTCTCTTAATTTCTAGTTGGGGAGAAGGTGGCAGTCAGAGATGAGTCCCAAAGTTCTGGAATGTTGGGTCTTGTGACTGAAGCCTAGATATCTCTACATTTCTCTAGCACCAGTGCTGTCTCCCGCAGCCCTTGGAGCCCAGGCATTCTGGGCTGACTCAAAGGCTCTGTCTTCTGGGACAGCAAGGGAACCACCTGTTCTCAATGCAGTTATTTTTGTGATGTTTACAGTATCAGCCCCCATCTACCAACAAGAAAACGAAGTCTCAGAGGAAAAAGGTGGGCCAAAGAAACACCCAGGAGGGGAACAGAAGGAGGGGACGGAAGCAAGTCAGCAGATGAAAAGAAAGAAGAAAGAGCAGAGGAGGGAAAATGGAGAGAATGGAGCTAGAAACTGAACACAGAGACAAAAAAGGAAATGCAGGAGAAATGCAGACAGAGGCAAGGACAATAAGAGAGACACAGACAGCAATAAGGAAAAGTGAGAAGTGCCACATAGGAAATGAAGAACAGTAGGCCCAGTGGAGCTAGAGAATGCACATGATGAAAGGAAGAGTAACCTGTTATAGAATGTGGCTAATAAAAGTGGAGAAAATGGAAAAGAAAAATGTCATGCTCAATAAAGTCCAAAGAACGATGGTGGCGAGAATGAAAAAAAAGTAAAAATTATGAAAGAGGCAAATAAGCAACATTTTCCTCCCCCAAAAGTCAATTAAATAAAAATTAAAATAGAAAATCAAGGTTTTTAATATGCATTTTAAAATTTTGTGTGAATCTATTACTGAAGAATTGCTCATGTAAATATATGTCCAGAGTTAAATATTATCCCCAAATTCTCAGCAAGACTGAATTGTGTCATAGAAGTTCCCAGATTTCCTTTCCTGCCATGTCATTGGAGGCTGCATTTCTTAGTCAAGTTCAGGTTTAGGCCAAAGGGCATCCAGTATTTGCCCACAGGCCTGTGAGATAACCTATGAGAGGAGGTCATTAAACTTTTTTTTCTTTTGCACTTTGTAATCAAATATAAAAGATGTATTAGTTTGTTAAGGCTGCCATTACAAAGTAAGGTGGCTTAGACAACAGAAATCTATTTTCACGTACTTCTGCTGGCTGAAAGTCCAAGATGTTGGCAGGGTTGATTCTTTCTGAGAACTATTAGGAAAAGGGTCTGTTCCAGACCTCCCTTCTTGGCTTACGATTGGCCTTCTTCTCTCTGTGTCTTCCTGTCGTCTTCCCTCTGTACATATCTCTGTGCACAAATTTCCTCTGCTTATAAGGACACTGGTCACATTGTCCACCATAATGACCTCATTTTATTTTAATTAACTGTGTGAAGACCCTATGTGCAAACACATCACATTTTGTGATACTCTGGGTTAGGACTTCAACATGTCAATTTCAGGGTTGGGGGCACAATTCAGCCCATGACAGAAGACTTCTAATATCTGACTACTGCCTTCTGATTCCATCTCCTATAAAACTCTCCCCTGCTCTGTGTCTCTCTGTGCTTCTGTCTCTCTTTCTCTCTCAAACACACACACACACACACACACACACACACACACACACACACACACACCCCCTACCTAGAGTTTTAAGTCTGAAACCCTATGAGTTTCTGCTTCATAAAAATACTAGGACTGTGTTATGTTAGAGCTGCAAAAATCCTTAGAAATCATATGGTTCAATCACTTTATTTTAAAGATAATGATATGAAGATCCAGAAATGGATAAAAATGTAGACCAGTAAAGAACACACATAATCAACATAGGCAAATAAGAACTCCGAAAGGAAAAGATGGGGCAGAAGGAAACACGTGAAATTTCCCACTAATTTAATATTTTTCCACCAGAAGGAAGGGAGTGAAGGAGAGCAAGGGTGCTGGATTCCCCTGAAGGTAAAGAAAAGCTAAGCAAAACCACAGAATGTAGGTCTTAGAGATCTTCTCCTTCACCTTCCTTAATTTAAACAAGAGAGTTAGAGTCTTCATAGATAATAAAGCAAAAAGTCTCAAGATCATGCAGATTATGAATTATTACAACTGAGAGAGGGTTAAGTGCTCAGCCAAATGATGACACTCGTGATAAGAAGACTAAACCAAAAAAGTGACACGTCTCATCCAAGTAGCCTGCTTTGAAGATGTCATGTATAAAGGAACCTCCTTCCTTCCTGGTCCTTCATGGCCCTGCCATGCTTTCTACTTCAGAGTCTTCCTTCCCCTGTGGTTCATTAAAAACTCAAGGCTCAATCTAGAAGGAAAAGGTTCAATCAGAAGCATGTAGAAGCCCCAGATGGGAGCCAAGCCACTGCTGTTGTGATTGCAAAGTAGATCCTGGCTTATCAGAGCAGACGAAAGCCAGGCTGGTGCCTGAGCCCATCTGGTTAGCCACCTTATTCAAAAGATGCTGAGTTCTTTCACAAAGACATCCATGCTTTAGAACTAGCCTCAGGCACAGGCCAATACCTACTGCAACTACCAACTGAGAGTAGCCAACAAACACAGATGGTTCTTCAAGTGACCACAGTTCGGCAGAAAAATTAACAGCTTGCATCCTATGGAAAGGTCTCTTGTTAGAAGATTATCTCTTCCCTCTTCGACTGATGACTGAAAAAAATGTCAATTATAACTCATGGCTTTGGATAAACCATAATCATACCCAATGATGAACTTCATTCAAGAAGAAGTAAGACAAAGACTTAAAAGGAAAAAAAAAAAGCAGTAGAACTTCTGGTTAAGAATGCTTAACTCCCAGACTATGGATTAAAACCACTTCTTTTGGAATGAGTTTTTATCAACTCTAAAGCAATTATCCTGAATGTCTACATGTGATTTCTGAATAATATGAACTAAGTAAACAGGAAGAATCTAGTATCAATACTAAGCACCTAGTGATACACAGCATATAATGCTGGATGGGTAGATAGATGAGATGGATGGATAGATGGATGGATGGATGGATGGAATGGGATGGGTTGGGCTGGGTTGGGATGGGATGGGATGGGATGGGATGGGATGGGATGGGATGGATGTACGGTTGGACAAATGGGTGATGTAGGTAGGGGAACAGTGGTAGAAAGACCGATATATAAATACATAAGACTGCTGAGATGACATGATTACTCTTGTCTTTGTGTAGGATAGTGAGGCAAGTACAGAGTTAAAAAGGGATTATGCTTACACAAGTGTTGCATGTTTGGAATTTCATTCTCTAGCCTAAAGTGAAATCATTCAAGAACCTACTGCTAACAATGGCAATTGCCTGAGGACTTTAGAGTGAATGTTATGTAACTATTAGTCCCTTTAATGATTTCTTGAAGTAGGCAGAGTATAGTCATTTAAAATTCTACTGTTTCAATTGTTTCTCTTAGGGCAAATTGATGATTCTATATAAAACTAATAGAAATATGTAAATAATTATGTTCCTGAAATAAAATTTTTCAAAAATATTTTTTATTAAGCACCTACAATGTTCAAAACTCTGTACTAGGCATGAAGGATAATGATAAAGATTGGAGAGGCAATAAAACATAGTGGGTTAAGAGTATAGAATCTAGAATCAGATTGCCTAGGTTCAAATCCTGTCTCTCTCACTAGTGGTGTGACCTTGGGCAAATCACATAACTTACCTGTGCCCCATTTTCCTTATCTGTCAAATGGGGATAATAACTAATTCTACCTCACACAATTATAAGGATTTGAGATTGTGTGTGGACGTGTTTGTGTACGAATATTTATCATACTGTGTAAATTGGTGCCTGGTACATAGTAAGCACTACTAAAGTTTTAGTTAATATTATTTCATTTAGTTCTGAAAATTAGAGTCATCTGAAAAAGTAATAGGTCTCCTTAAATAGAAGTAGGTCTTCTATCACCCAGACATTCAAGCCCAAGCTTGCCAACACTTTTCAGTGACATGGTAGTGGGTTTCAAGCACATGATGGGAAAAGAGAACTCAGTGACCTAAGACCCCTTCCAACCAGAGAACTCCAGTTCTGCAAATAATTACAACTTAAAAGGAAACTGGGCTGTCCCATGTGAGGAAGCCTTAACTTTTATTTTTAGGTCACAGAATGAACTTTCAAAAAACTACCATTTTTCTCAACCAGTTAAAATCAAATGTAATATGTGTTTTCATTTCATGGTGCCTGAAGAAAATTTAATTGTAGCATGAACTCCAGCTCTTACTAGTTTTAAGTAAAATTGCCAAAATAAATAGAAATGTGGGATATTTCCGGGCTCACACAGCTTCCGGGACATTTCAGTTTCTAGGGCTGCCGATCCGGTGCCTTTCACAAGCATTTGATCTTCTTTCAAACATCTCTTGAAAACAAACAAAACCTCATACAGCTTCTAATGTGAGTGCTGTTAGCATGTAAGGGTGGAAAAGGAGGCAAAGATATGAGCTCTCAGAGCCTCTCCCCTTCCCTCCCCTCCATCCCCTGACCACCTCCCTCCCACCAACCACCAACAGAAAACAATGTTTTCTTAAGCAATACATTTTGCAATTTCTCAAGTCCATTAGCATCCATGCGAGCAGATGGGGTTTATTCTTTTTGCCTATGAAGGGAATAGGGCTTTTTGCAATATTTACTAGATAACAGAGAGCCGACTTTTAATCCAAGGGCTAAATCGATAGTCTGAAGTTAAAGTAGAAGTCTTCGGTAGCAATAAAAAGATAAATTGTTTTAGATGAGGCAGAATGCTTTTTATGAAGTTTGGAATATCCTCAGGTTGTGTGCTCACTGGTTATGGATTCCTTTCAAAATCAGTGACAATATTTATTGACCTAAACAAGATAAGTCTACTTTTAAAGAAGGAGCAGGTGAGGTTAGTAAAGGTTCTTCAGTGGCCACTGAACTTCCAGACCTGCAAGGTCAAAATCGGCTTCTTATCCTTGAGGGCCTAACTGAAGCCTGAGTATTTTCCCTAATGCCCACATATTTGGGAGTCTTTTTTAGTGAGACTCTTAATTCATTTAGTGCTGCCTTGTTTTTAGCCAGCAATCGCAAAAGATGATTGAGAAATAAAGACTTACGTGTAAACTTAAGAAGAGAGAAATAGAAATTGAAAACAATAGGGCAATGAGAGACGTGGGACAATGAGTCTGTGAATCTATGTCTGGTATTCCAGAGAGCAGTTACGAGTTCCTGCCACACTAGCAACGGAACTATAGCTGCAATGGGCTATTGCTACATAAGTAACGAGAGCGAGAAAACATTCTGGAAAACTCCCATCTTTGTTGTATTAACCCATGTGGTTATAGTTTTAAGACCTTTTGATCAGGAAACTAACTCTTTTGAAAATGTAGAAGTTCCATAAAAACAAGAATGCTAAAGGTGCATTCAACTAATTTTAATTCTAAATGTCCTTGGTGGCAATTTACAATCTATAATTAACTACAGCACATAGGTTTTTTTCTTGAGGGGGGGAATTATTTTCTCTTCTTTACTGTGTATGCATGTATGTGTGGGCACACACATGTGTAGTTTTGTGTTTGTTGCATCCACTAGGAATTTAGAGGGAATCACATTCCAAAATTATAGATAAAAACAGTTTCTTGGCTCTTCTTTCAGTGAAGATAAATCCCTCTGTAAAACCTAATCGTCATTCAAGGGAAGGTATGATTTTTTGGTCTTCTGAAAGGTCCAGGTTCTAGTCCTAAATTAAATGTTATTCATGAACTAAAAGAAAAATTATTGAAGGGGCAGAAAGAAGTTGGTTTTCTTTTT